TTTGTGCTCTAACTTCGAAAGTTTTTTATGCAGCTGCTGTCGGGGAACGAGTGTCGGAATGATCCGTTGCCTTCGGGTATTCGTAAGTATTTTGTTTTCCGTCCAAACACCGCATTTTGCCTAAGCCTACTCGGATAAATAATGAGTAATGTGTTTTGCATGAACGTGCCGTTGATATTATGTCGTCAGCGGTGTGTTTATTCACATCATTTACGTACTTCATCATCGACTAGGCATAGCAAGTTGAGTCGAATTTCCAGTTCAGTGCGACGAATAACTGGTTCGGATGCTGGCCGTTGGCGGGTGGGATGTTGAAAGGCTTTTTGTCAGACTTTAAAGAAAAGGTCATAAATTTCGGTCACCGCTTGACCCCAGCAGGTCGTCTGACAAACAGCAGAGGACGATAATATTCATAAGGTTGCAATGAGGAGCACTGAGGCTAACGGGGCGGCTGAAAGTGTTACGGACTATCGACTGGCGGAAGCTTCTACTACGTCAACCACAACAACAATGAGGCGGCCTCTAATAGTGTGCGTGGGTCGTTACCAGAAAGTGACGTCGTTTTAAACGCTTTCGCGCCAAGACTTCTTTTTTCGCCTCAACCTTGTTAAATGCATCAGACAAGCGGTGCACATTTCGACGACCGACGAAGCCATCGAATGGTGGCCGCTTTTCGATTTTTTCGTCGTCTTTAAACGTGCTGACGTTTCTTCCCTCGCAAGGCAGATTGAGGTAAGCAAGATTCGAGTAGTTGGTTCTGTGGAACCATGGCTGTTTATGGGATCACGTAGATCACCAGAGGCAAGATCACCTCGAAACTACGTTAAGTAAATCCGGAGAAGTGAGATGAGATTGTTGTTCTGACCGGGGATATCGAAAACTAGCAGTTTGCCAGTAAACCCATAATATCACCATTAATTTTTAATATTTGGTTCCGTTTGTTCGAATAACTTTGAGCATCATAACACCATTATTTAGTGACTAATGTCATTCGCTCTCTAAATGGTCGATGGTTACGTCGATGGTCGAAAGTGTACCACAAAATTATGCTGCTGAGAGTGACTGAAGCATCCAAAGGACATTACGGTGACCACATGAGGAAATGTACCGCCACGACCACGCCAGAACATTATGCTGTCCCCGTTTGCTTGATATCAAAGTATGTTGCCGTTTGTTGGCTGGAAGCGCGGGAAAGCACGATACAGAAAATTTTTTTCCACTTAGCGAAGCACGAACAGATTTAAAGGAAATCTTAAACCTTACCGAGACTGCACCTGCACCTCTTCAGTGCTTACGTAAACTATCCCATTCAATGCTCCACTGTTGCCAAAAGGCAAATTTACTACTTTTAGTTTACATATTCACGATGTGTTAATGAAGAGTGAAGAATTATGTTTGTTAAGACGCAGTTACCGTCATTTACAGCATGCTCTTAGAACAACACTGCGGTAGTATGTTTCAACGAGGTGATATCTCAAGATTGGCCAAAGTTAAAAATCTGATTTTCATGTCGACGTTCGGGCCAACGTAACTTTTCATTGTCAGTCAATGGGCGTTAGAGATTATGAAACTTGCATAATAAAGTCGCACTAGCCGTTAAACTGAATGTTTAACATGAATAAATCATGTTTTAGGTATGTTATTAACAAACTAGAGCTCTTATTACGCGCTTGGTGCCCTTAGTCAAAATTTGTTGATGCCAACAAGTGTCGAGTAAACCTGATAGCCAATTTTGATTGCTTGTGATTCCATATTTTATATTGATATTAGTTGCTTGATTGCGTGGTGAAACCAATCAATCATTGTGCTTTACCAAAATCACCATCATTGCGTCAGTGATGAAGGAAGTTAAGCGTTTACGACGCTCCTTTTCTGCGATTAGACAACTTGCTACGATTGGGAACTGTTTCGCTTATGTGTATTGTGGACCCCTTTGGGATCGCTACTGGAAAGACAGGAAGCGACAACGTGACTCGGTTGCAAATACCGAAAGTAGCGAGCTACGAGGTCACGAGCCGATGGTCCTTTGTTCGTCGTCCAGTCGCGTGGCAAAATGGAGTAAAATTATTTGTCGTTGTTTCGAAAGGCCTATTCCTAAAAGAGGTTGTTTTGAGGCAAAACTGATTATTAAATTTCAACGTATGTTAGAAATTGTCTGTTGATGTGGTTGTCACGGAACAGTCACCAGTTACGCTTCACATGACAACTTGTTTTGCCACATAGCCAGAATAAACATGCTGGCGAAAACAGCCTGAAGCTCATTTGGAAAATTTGGTACAGTTGTGAAAGG